TCTGGTGTGTTTTGAGTGAAATCCAATAGCTACAACCATGCGATAAACCAACCAATCCATTTACGTAACGAACTTCATACGAACTTGAAGTGTCCAATTTCATTGGCCAATCGATATTAGATTGATCCCAGAACTTGGTCAACATCATAATATGGTGGAAGGAGTCATTCAGTGAGTTTTGACTGAAATCCAATCTCTAAAACGATGCAACACACCAACAACTCCGTTTATTGAATGAACTTCATATGAACTAGATTGTCCAATTTCTTGGTTCAATCGATATCGGATTGAGCCCAAAACTTGGTCAACATAGTAATATGGTGGGAGGAGTCGTTTGGTGAGTTTTGAGTGAAATCCAATCGCTAAAACTATGCAATACCCCAACCACTACATTTACGGAACGAACTTCTTAGGAACTTCAATTGTCCAATTTCTTGGTTCAATCGATATCGGATTGAGACCAAAACTTGGGTCATCATCATAATATGGTAGGTGAAATCATTTGGTGAGTTTTGACTAAAATCCAATCGCAAAAACTATGCAATGCACCAACCACTCCATTTACGGAACGAACTTCATACGAACTTGAACTGTCCAATTTCTTTGGCCAATCAATATTGGATTAAGCCGAAAACATGGGCAACGACATAATATGGTTGGAGGAGTCAATTGGTGTGTTTTGAGTGAAATCCAACACCTATGCAATACACTAGCCACTCCTTTTACCGAACGAAATTCGTACGAACTTGAATTGTCCCATTTCTTGGTTCAATTGAGATTGGATTGAGCCCAAAACTTGGGCAATGTCATAATATGGTGGGAGTAGTGAATTGGAGTGTTTTGAGCGAAATCCAATTGCTAAACCTATGCAATACACCAACCACTCCTTTTACGGAACGAAATTCGTACGAACTTGAATTGTCCAATTTCTTGGTTCAATCGAGATCGGATTCAGTCCAAACCCTGGTCAACATCCTAATATGGTGGGAGGAGTCATTTGGTGAGTTTTGAGTGAAATCCAATCTTCAAACTATGCAACGCACCAACCACTCCTTTTACGGAACGAACTTCGTATGAACTTGAAGTGTCCAATTTCATTGGCCAATCGATATCGGATTGAGCCCAAAATTTGTCAACATCATAATACGGTGGGATGAGTCATTTGGTGAGTTTGAGTGAAATCCAATAGCTACAACCATGCAATACACCAACCAATCCATTTACGGAACGAACTTCGTTCGAACTTGAAGTGTCCAATTTCATTGGCCAATTGATATCGGATTGAGTCCAAAACTTGGTCAACATCATAATATGGTGGGAGGAGTCATTCGGTGAGTTTTGAGTTAAATCCAATCTCTAAAACGATGCAACACAGTAACCACTCCGTTTACTAAACGAACTTCGTATGAACTAGATTGTCCAATTTTTTGGTTCAATCGATATCGGATTGAGCCCAAAACTTGGTCACCATCGTAATATTGTGGGAGGAGTCATTGGGTGAGTTTTGAGTGAAATCCAATTGCTAAAACTATGCAATACCCCAAGCACTCCATTTACGGAACAAATTTCTTACGAACTTCAATTGTCCAATTTCTTGGTTCAATCGATATCGAATTGAGCCCAAAACCTGGTCAACATCATAGTATGGTGGGAGAAGTCATTCGGTGAGTTTTGAGTGAAATCCAATCGCTAAACCTATGCAATGCACCAACCACTCCATTTACGGAACGAACTTTGTACAAACTTGAATGTCCAATTTCTTTGGCCAATCGATATCGGATTAAGCCCAAAACATGGGCAACAAATATGGTTGGAGGAGTCATTTGGTGTGTTTTGAGTGAAATCCAATTGCTACACCTATGCAATACACCAACCGCTCCTATTACGAAACGAAATTCGTACGAACTTGAATTGTCCAATTTCTTGGTTCAATCAAGATCGGATTAAGTCCAAAACTTGGGCAATATTATAATATGGTGAGAGGAGTCATTCGGTGAGTTTTGAGTGAATTCCAATCGCTAAAACTATCCAATACACCAACCACTCCATTTACGGAACGAACTTCGTACGAACTTGAATTGTCCAATTTCTTTGTTCAATCGAGGTCGGATTGAGCCCAAACCTTGGGCAACATAATATGGTGGGGTTGAGTGAATTGGAGTGTTTTGAGTGAAATCCAATTGCTAAACGTGTGCAATACACCAACCACTCCTTTTATAGAACGAAGTTCGTACGAACTTGAATTGTCCAATTTCTTGGTCCAATCGAGATCAGATTGAGCCCAAAACGTGGGCAACATTATATTGTTGTGGCAGGAGTCATTCGGTAAGTTTTGAGTAAATTCCAATCGCCAAAACTATGTAATACACCAACGACTCCATTTACATAATGAACTTCGTACGAACTCGGTCGAAGGCTCCGTCATCCTCACATGCACATCGTCAAGTATGGCAGAAGAAAACTGGGATCACCGCACTTTTGAATTGTGCTTCATCCATGACCTGATGCAAATTGGCTATGAACCTTTTCTTGTGAACATGAGAACCACCATACAAATACAGAGGAGCTTGTGAGCCAGATTGTCGGCTTTCCTCTTCAAACGACATGGTAGTTGAGAAATTGCAAAAGTGAGGGAATAGATCAAAATCGCAAGCCAAAACTTACAAGTCAAAGCGCAATGGGAAAAACCTAGCTCAAGACAACAAAAAAAGGCCAACGCGACTTGAGCCGCCAACACCGTTCAAGCCCCAAACACAACCTGGACTGGGCTCCCAAGACGCAACTCATGCCACCGAGCCGTAGCATAGGGACGAATAAAAAATAATTATAAAAAAAACGGCCAGCAGTGGCAATCGCCGCCTCCTACCACCGTTGCAGTCCTTGCAACAACCAGACGGCTGACCACAGTTCACCCGAACCAACCAGCTGGTCCTCTCCAAGAAGAAAACAATAAATAAATAAAAACCGTGACCTACCTTGGCGAACATGCAAGGTTCTCTCCTCCAAAATCCTTCTCTTCATCGCAAGTCAGAAAGTAGAGGAAGATGAAATTGCAAGATGAAGATTTATGAATTTTAGCAACCAATCACAAGGTGACACATGGATAAATGAATATTTATTAGGTCAAATAATTGTGCTAATTAAATCCTATTTAATTATTCAATTATCCTTGATTTAAGATAGAAATTTCTCCCTAAATCAAGGATCTGATTCCCAATATATTTCCTTGATATTAAGGAAAATGATAATTCCCTTTCATTTGGGAATTATTCTCTACAAACCCTACCAAAGAAGGAGTCTTTATATAAAGATGGCATCATACCACACATGAGGTAATTCCAAAAACCTTAGAGAAAACTCTCTCTTTCACTTTCTCATAGCTTCGCCGCCCCTGTATCTCTCTTCCTGAAGAGACAGCTTTATCCTTTCAATTATAGCTGCATCTTCTTAAGACCATTTAACTGATTTACGCATTAGAGGGCCTTTCGCCAACAACCCCCGGGTGTGCTCTGTTGACCCCATCTATTTTGCAGGGATTGAGGAAGAAAAGGATTGCGTATGAAGAGGATCTTTCATGAATATTCTCCCTAGAGATAATTGGTACAAACAATGCTCTCATAACCTTACAATTCTGTACATGACAGAGTAATAGTGCATAGAAATGAAAGCAGCATACACATCATAAGGAAATAGGGGCATACAAACATTGAAGAATGCAAAGAACTTCACTACATAAAGTAATATAATTAATTAATTAGTTTATTACATAAACCAAATGTAAGGCTGAATTTAGATGCTATTGAGAAAAGAATTGGGGCTGGGAGAAATTGGGATGTCCACAGTTCCTTCCAACATAAGTAGAACCTTCTTCATAGAAGGACACAACGATGGTTCATCCTGGATGCACCAAAGCCCCACTTTAATCATCCTTTCAAATTGCCTTCTATCTCTTCATCAGCCACTAATTTCCCAAGTTTACCCCTCTCAAAATAGTTGTAGGCCAATTCATCCAAAATAGCTTCCCCTTCAGGAAGATTCCAGTCCACATTCCTCCGACAACATATGATCTCCAAAAGCACAATTCCAAAGCTATAAACATCCGCTTTAACTGTTATCGACATTTTCCTATGCCATTCTGGTGCAACATACCCCTTGGTTCCTCTGATTCCAGTATTGTTCTAGTTTGGTTTGCCTTAAGAAGGTTTGCCAAACCAAAGTCTGAGATTTTCGGGCACATGTACTCATCCATTACTATGCTTTGAGGCTTTTTGTCACAGTGAATGATCTGTGTATCACACTCTTCAAAGAAACCCCCGTGCTATGTTGCGAGCCATTCCCATTCTTGTTTCCCAAACTAGTTGCCTTTCTGGTGTGAAAAGTACATCTGCAAGCAGGGACGGATCCAGGATTTCAAAATAGGGTGGGCTAAATTTACCTTACATACAAACCTATTAAGTCCATATCTAATGCTAGATAACTTAAACCCAAAATTTTCCCCTCTAAAATAGAACAATTCATGTACATCTCATACTCAAATAATTTTGAAAAATTCTTGTTGATGTTAATTTTACAATATTAAACAAAAAATTATTACAATTTTAAAGCTGAGGAATGGGGTGTGATTTTAATTTAAACAGAAATTTAACGGGGAAGTGTGGTTTTTAATGTTAATTGTTTCTGTATGTGAAGATTTTTTGTTTGTTTTTATTTATGTGAAGTGTTAAATGTTAATAAAATTAGGAAAATGTGGTGGAACATGGGGTGAACTAAAAAGGGGAGGTGCCTCACATGCAACTCCACCAAGTCAATGCACTAAATCTGTCAGTTGGGATCCATTTACATGGGTTAATTGGAACTTGGGGGAAATCTATCAGTTGGGGTCCATTTACATGGGTAGATTGGAACTTGGGGGAGGTGTGTTGGGTTTTCTATTTTAATATAAAAAAAAAAAAAAAAAAAAAAAAAAAAAAAAAAAATTGCCTGGCTATAGCCCAGGTTAATCATAATGACGGTCCGTCCCTGTCTACAAGTGAGCCATTGCTCATGTACTCGTATACCAACAGCTTGTTTGGTCCATCAAGGCAATATCCAAGTAAGCGGACTAAGTTCTTGTGATGAGTTCCCCCAATAACTTTCACCTCAGTCTAAAATTCTTTCTCACCTTTAGCTGCTACTTTTCTAATATTTTTACAGCCACCGGCTTTCGGCTGCTTACAATCACACCTTTATAAATTGTTCATGATGCTTCTCTACCAACCTCTTCACTGAAATTGCTAGTAAACTTCTCGAACTCTTCATAAGCATATGGGCACGGACCGACATCATCATTCAATTCAGAGTCACCATTGGGAATACTCATTCTTTTATCTGCCCATGCATTGTGTGTAGAATAGAATTACAGAAATCACCAACAAAACATATCCAAAAGCAGTAAAAGAGAAACTAATTATCAAGATGTCAGTTCTACTATTATTCTTACTTCTTTTTTAGAAATTGTATCTGTCTCCGGTGTAGTTGTAGATATTGTTTATACCAAAATGAACAGCCTATGAGAACCAGACACGTGGACAGGATTGAGCCTGACCATGGTAGCCTTCGGCACCCAGCCTACCGATTCAACGATTAGGGCCACCTCATTCTCCAAGACACGTGGCAGGCCCACAATCGATGTCTACAGTCCCACATCGAAAATCTACTCAACTAGCACACCTCCCAAGGCTTATAAAAGGATTACAATTCCCCAAAATGGAGGTAATTAGATCTTACGGCATATTGCCTATTGATCTGTCAGTTTAATCTTACCAACTCCGTACTTACTTAAGCATCGGAGAGCCTTTGACCGGTACCACACCGGTGCCTAAAGACTTATCGAGCGTGTGTTATTTTACAGATCACGTGCTCTACCAAGGCCTAACGGCATAACGAAGGCCCAACATCACTAAGTTGGCCTCAAAAACTGCCGAACCATTTTTGAGCATCAACAATTTGGCGCCGTATGTGGGAAACGAACAAAATCGACCCATTTTCTCAAGACATGGGGACCACTTCAGTACCAATGTTCTTGTCGGAAGACGGATTACCATTCGGTAGGCAAAGTGGAGCTAGCCCAGCACTGCCCCCAAGTACTCTGTTTGGCAATTCACCCATTATGTAGCTCACAGCCGAGGCAGAGCTTCTGGCCCAAATCACTTCCCTTCGGAAGGACATGGCTAAACTCCAAGAACATAACAACCTTCTCTCGTCCAAAGTAGATGAAACCCAGCAGTTGCTCAATCAGCAACATATGCAAAATATCCAAACCACTCAATCTTCCCAGAGCCTGCAGACTCCCAGTCGTAAGAAGAAGGGTAAGAAGGTAGCAAAGGCAATGCTCACTCCCTCCAAGCAGTTAGTAGTTCCGGCACCTAGGAATCAACCACACTCACCGAAAAAGGTTTACTCCGATTGTCGCCGTCGGCTTAATGACAAGGAGGTTGAAAGGCAGAGGTCTCCAATCAGGATCAATGCAAGGTTGAGAGACTCACGGATTAGGGTTCTGGGAAGCATGTCACCCATTCGGAAGGTACGGGGTTTGGAATCGGAAGTAGAATCCGACGACGAGTACGTCCCTTCCAAAACCACAAAATCAACCTACTGTTTGGCAACTCCCACTCTAAGGCAAGGCCTTCAAGTCCACGGAGAACTTCTGAAGACTATGGTTCTGAGGAGGTTCCAAGCCAAGACCCCGCTATTCATCTACTCTTCCAGAGGATTCAGAAGATGAAAAACGATAGGACCCGCTCCTAAGAGCCTGACTGGGGCAAACTTCGGCCGGGACCGTTCATCGAACGCATAAAGTGCTCACAGCAAGATAGAGATATACAGCCACTTTGCATACCATTCTACACCAGTGTTGAAGACCCCTTAACGCATCTCCATTCCTTCCAATCGACAATAGGGTGCAAGGGACTCAGCAACGAAGGGCAATGCCTGCTGTTCCCATCCTCCCTTACAGAAGCAGCGTTGAATTGGTTCTATTGTCTGGAGCCAGGAACGGTAGATTCCTTTGATGAATTGAAACAGATTTTCCTTAATCTGTATTCTGCCGATGATCTGTACACGATTCGGCAGAGAGAAGACGAGCCCCTGCGAGAATATGTTGCAGTACTCGAGGTGTCCAGAAACGGATGACAGGGCAGCCTACGACGCCTTCAAGAGTGGCCTTTGGTCCTCACACTTTCAATACCTCTTGCACATTAGCAACTGGCGTACCTATGACGAACTGATGAAGCAAGCTGCAATCCATGCTAAGGCTGAATATTTCAACTCAAAATTCGGGCCTTCGGCTCAGCAGGAGGAACCAGCACTGAAAAGTTACCCTGGGCAGGACTCTCCTTACGCTCCGCGGAGAGCCGACGTATCCTCAGCAGGGCATAAACGGAAAGTTAACCGTGACAATCGACAGGGACGCTCAAATAGAGAAAAAGGAAAATACGATTGTAATGACCACCGGGCACCCCTACCGAATACCGACCACGGCCAGGAAGTCTTCACTCTGCTAAACACCACTTATGAGGCTGTTTTGATGAACGAGAACAAAATAATCCTGAAGCCTAATCGGTAGGACAATCGAGATACCAGAAAATTCTGCCGATACCACCAACACAACAGTCATAACATGGAGGATTGCATAAGCCTGAGGAAAATCGTTGAGCGATTGATTCGGGAGGGAAAGCTGGATCAGTACATCACTAGACCACCCCAAGCACCGGTCCCAAACGGGAATCGGCAGATCAACATGATTAGCACCATCAGCAGAGGCCCCACTCTGGCAGGATCATCTAACCGATCCGTAAAACAATATGTGCGTGCTGCTCACTACCCTCAAGTCTTCAGCATAGAGATCAACTGGCACCACAAGGCACCGAAGATTGGGTGGGAGCCTATCACATTTTGCGAAGAGGAGGAAGAGGGGATCCTTTACCCCCATGATGATCCGATGATCATTTCAGCTGAAATTGCAGACTACGACGTAGGGCGGGTATTGATCGACATCGAGAGTTCGGTAAACGTAATTTTTGCCAATGATTTCAGAGGAATAGGGATAGCAGATAGCTAGGTCAATCGACAAATCACACCACTACTCAGCTTCTCCGGGGACCTGGTCCAACCAGTCGGTAGTATCAATCTGCCCATCGCCTTCAGCGTTGTCCCTCGAAAAATGATGATATATGACCAATTCCTCATCGTTGACTGCCCAACGGCTTACAACGTCATAGTAGGATGAACGGCACTCACCGGGATCAAGGCACACCTATCCCCTCACATGCTACTAATGAAATTCCCAACTTGCAACGGCACGGGCGCAGTTAGAGGAAATCAACTCAACGCACGAACATGCTACGCAATGGCGCTAAAATCAGTGGCTTTCAAATCTTTAAGGGAAACCATGACCGTTCAGGGGGCACCGAACGGTAATGGACCCATGGACGACCCAAAGGGTGAAACACCAACGCCGCAGGCACAACTTGTCGAAGAACTGGAAACGGTTATGCAAAATGCAGAGCAACCCAATCAATGTGTGAAGATCGGAACCACACTCGACCATGTCCTGCGAGCGCAGTTCATTGATTTCTTACAGCATCATGCGGAGGTGTTCACTTGGTCCAACGATGACATGCCAGGTATATCCCCTGAGGTCATCAGCCACAAGCTCAGCATCTCCCCTGCCTATAAACTTGCAAGACAGAAACGCCGTTCGTATGGCGCCGAACGGTATGAAGCCATGTGTACCGAAGTTGACAAGCTAAAAGCCATAAGCTTCATTTGGGAAGCTACGTACCCTGTCTGGCTCAAGGATTAAAATATCGGCCGTGCAGATAATATCGGGCCTCTAATTTACAGATATTTCGGGGGATATATCGTTATCGTTTTAGGTATCGGGAAAAAATCAACAAAAATGACAGATATAGGCATTGAAACACATAATTTTTGTGTAAAACATTCATAGATGTTATGTACAGTATCAAAGAATGTATTGAACAAATAAAACTCAAAATTTACTAATAATAAGATATACATATGATGAAATATAAGTTGTATGTAATGCGCGTTAATGAAAAGTTTGAAAATAAAATGTTAATGAGGAACAACCATCTAGATTCATACAATAGTCATACCAAGTCATGTAATCCAAGCAGTTTGTAAGCCATGTTTGAACATGGTGCACATAGGTCTCTCTTAAGCTCCCTATTGTCCTCCCATATATGGGATAGTTAGGATTAACCAACTAGTAGGTCCATAATTTTTTTATCATCTTGAGCTCCATAACTAGTTCCACTATAATTAGACATGACATAAACATAGACATCTTAAGATTCATTTGAGTTAGTACTAGGTCTAGTTCCTATGTTCATAGATCCAAAACTGATTGCTATGTCCTCTTCAAATGGATTGGAGGTATGTGGGCAGTGGACTATGCATAGATTCTTCATATTAATAAATTATAGGGTTTTGGGCAAGGATTAACTATTTTTGGTTTTCAATTTGCTTCAATTGCCTTCAAAACTTCTGAATTTTTTTTGGGTTCTGTTATGGGTATCGGGAAATATCGGGGATATCGGCAAAATATCGGGAATATCACACTTCTCGGGGATATATCGTCGATACAGGGGAAGATATGACCTTACCCCCCCAGTATCGATGTCGATAGTTGAAAATACCGATATATCGGCAGATATATCGGTGTATCGGCCGATATTTCAATCCTTGGTCTGGCTTGCCAACTCAATAATGGTTTGGAAGGCCAAGGGCGGGTGGCGAATGTGCCAGGACTATACTGACCTGAATAAGGCCTGTCTGAAGGATAGCTTCCCGTTGCCCTGGATCGACCAGCTTGTGGACGCTACCGCCGATCACGAGCTGCTCAGCTTCATGGAAGCCTATTCGAGATGGAACTAGATATTCATGAACCCTACTGATAGAGAGCATACGACATTCATCACGGACAGGGGATTGTACTATTATAACGTCATGTCGTTCGGCCTTAAGAACGCGGGGGTAACATATCAAAGGCTCGTCAACCGAATCTTCGCCAAACATATCGGTAGCATCATGGAAGTATACGTCGACGATATGTTGGTAACAAGCAGGACTGCTGAAGAGCATCTACATAATTTGGCCCTTATGTTCGATATTATGAAGGACTACCGAATGAGGCTGAACCCAGCAAAGTGCGCATTCGGTGTGTCTTCCGGTAAGTTTTTGGGTTTCATGATCAGTCAGAGAGGGATCGAAGCAAATCCCGAGAAAATCAAAGCCATAATTGACATGGAAAAGCCGAAGATGCAGAAGGACCTTCAAAGCCTTACCGAGCATGTCGCTGCCTTAACACGCTTCATTTCCAAGGCCACGGATAAGTGCGTACCGTTTCTTAAAGCCTTGAAAGGGGGCAAACAGCGTATCACGTGGACTGCCGAATGCGACCAGGCATTTCAAGACTTGAAGAACTATATGGGTAGAGCACCATTATTGTCGAAGCCACTCCCAGGAGAGGTTCTATTTCTCTATCTATTGGTATCAAGCACTGCTGTCAGCTCGGTGCTGATACGCAAACTAGAGAAAGCAGAACTACTGATCTTATACATCAGTAAGGCGCTGCAGAACGCAGAGATTCGGTACCCTCCCTTGGAACAGCTAGCCTTAGCTCCCGTGGTCTCAGCTCGAGGACTCCGTCCATACTTCCAAGCGCACGAAATTACAGTTTTAACCAACCAATCGCTCCGGCATGTGCTCTAGAAACCAGAAGCGTCTCGCAGATTGATCAAATGGGCAATTGAGCTAGGAGAGTTTGACATACAGTTCAAGCCAAAACCTGCGGAGAAAGGTCAGGTCGTCACTGACTTCATCTCCGAGCTCACACCTTCGGTAGTGCCAGAGCTAGCCAGTTCAGACGCTGATGCCGGGGAATCAGGCAAGCGGAATGCTGAACAATTCAACACTTCCGTTCCCATATGGATTCTGCATGTCGACGGTTCGGCAAATCAACAAGGTTGTGGAGCTACCCTGGTGCTGACTACTCTAGACGGAGCCAAGGTCGAATATGCCCTCCGATTTAACTTCAGAACCTCCAACAACGAGGCAGAGTATGAAGCTCTTTTGGCCAGCCTTCGACTACCTATCGGCAGACTTCCAGCTCATAGTGAATCAGACAACGGTAGACTTTGCAGCTAGAGATGCTTCAATGTCAGCCTACCTATCGGCAACACACCAACTCCTTCAAAAATTCCAGGCTTAAGAGATTCGGCCATCAATGACAAGGTTGGCAGAAAGGTGCCGGTGGAGATCCTATCCCAAGCTAGCACGACTGATCAGTTCACAATTGCATATCATTTTGTACCCTTCTAACTTATGATTTGGTTATGTTATTGAGTCAAACGTGTGCTTTTAATCCCTTTTCTGTTTATCATTCAGTTCATTGAGCCTTAGGTAGCTATGGTGCCTTTGGATAAGAAAAGATGCAAAATGGTGCAAAAACGAGCAGACTGGGTTGGCAACTCATTTCGGCCTTAACGTCTTTCTCCCAACTTTGATTGGCCCATATAATATGTGCCTGGAAAGATGAGAGTCTGAACTGCAAGATGGACTACTCAAATAGATCAATTGATTAAGTCAACCCCAATCCGTGAGCCCATCAAAATGCACACCATGCTCAGGAATGCAACTGGTAGCTGTTGAGTCATTTGTTGACGAGACAGCATGGAAACTCAGAAGGCATGGGCAGCTGACATTCCTAGAGGCATGGGCTACACATCAAATCAGCAGCATGGGAACCTAATGGGCAGCTCAGACAAATGGGAATAGCTAGGAATGGGTGTGCTTCACCAGCCAAAGGGGGAGCACGAATTTGCACTCTATAAATAGAGTGATGCACACTCATTCAAAAAAAAAGGTCACTCCATTCAGCCTAAAATTCACTTCAACCATCCTCTAACACTCCCATCCTTCCCCAAACACTCCATTCAGCCCCAAATCACCAAAACAGCTCCAACAAGCCTTCCTTCCATTTCCCTACGAATTTCCTCTTTCTCTGCCATCACCACTCACCCAAACTCATCCCAATCACCTCTTTAGTTGCCATACTCTAGATGTGAGGAAGCTCTTGGAGCAGCATTAGGTGTGGAGAAGCACTTGGAGAAGCCTTGGACACCACAAGTAACTTCAGAAATGGGTTTTTCCACTCTTATTACATTCATTATGTTTTCTCATTTCTGTTTAAGTTTCATTTCCATTATGAGTAGCTAAATTCATAACTAGGACTTCGATGTAACCTAACATGAATATTCTGGGTTTATAAGTTGAAGTTTTGAGTTTCAAGTTTGATTCATGATTCATGTTCTTATTCATTATGCTTATCAGTTAATATGCTTGTTTGGATGATTGATCACCATTAGAACTTGTATATTAGCTATCTTGGTTTGAATCAAGAGTAGACACCATGCTTTGATTCGAATTGAACTATGAATAAGAAAAGTATGTATGGACATTCGACAACAGGGATTAGATACATGCTTGGTTGTTTAAATTGTTCTTCTATGCTTAATGAGTTCCTAATGCTTAATTTAGGTTAGACAACAAATGATCAAGTTAGGGAATTAGGAACACAAGGTTAGGACCAGACACCATGGCCTAATCATACTTTAGCTAGAATCAATCTTTGAATCTGAATTAGACTTGTCACTTGACTCCTTATAACCTAGAATTGAATTGTTATGGTGAATCGAATGCCCTAGTCTCCCAATCTGTTTTCCAGCCCACAAAAACACTCTTTGTTACATTTGCTCACTTTGCTTTTGTTTGAAATTTCGTTTTGCCTCATTTGTTCAACAATTACAATCACTCTTGCTTTAAATTCTATTTTAGACTTAACCTCCTACTTTCTTGAACTTGGTAATCTAAGTACATAACTAATTTTAACTTCTCAGTCCTCGTGGGTACGACCTCGTACTTGAATTTAGTAGTACTAATTAACTCAAGTTATTTTCTGTTTCAGGTAGTTTATGTCTAGAAATCCCTTACTTGAACAAGTGAGGTCTTCATTCCAACGTTCGAGATCTTTGAACACAAGACCATCTTTGCAACCAAACCGGGTGATCTCTGAAATTCAGAATCGTCTAGAAAGAGAGTTGGCAACTGCGAAAGAGCAAGCCATTGCCACATTTGAAGGTCTTGCTATCCACACTGACCTCCCAGGTTCTTCACCTTCAAATTCGGAATCAAGTTCAAACCAAGAAGAAGAAGAAGAGATGGCTGCCAATGAGTTCATGGGAGACCTTGATATCCCAACAATTCCAGCATCCCCTTCAAGCATCTTGCTGCCCACCGCAGCTCAAAACTATGAGCTTAAATCTTCTCATCTTAATATGTTGCCTTCCTTTTATGGTTTACCTAATGAAGATCCATTAACCCATATAAAGGATATTTTTAATGCTGTGAGCTCTTTTCCCTTGACAGGTGTGACGGAGAGATCAACTTCGAATGAGAGTGTTTCCTTACACTTTGAAAGACAAGGCGAAATATTGGTTGAATTCTTTGAAGCCTGGTTCACTCACGACTTGGGGAGCCATTCAAAAGAAGTTCTTAGAAAAATACTTCTCCACGCAAAAAACCGACATGCTTAGGGACAAGATCTTACTATTTGCACAACAAGATGATGAGTCATTTTGTGAAGCATGGGAGAGATTCAATGGGCTGCTCAATCAATGTCCTCATCATGGGATTCCATTGAAGCTTCAGATGCGTATGTTTTATAAAGGACTAACCCCCTCTAGCCATAATATTGTCACTAATTTTGCAGGTGGTTCTTATAAGACTAAGACTCCAGAAGAAACATATGAACTCTTTGAGGAGATAGCAATGGAGACCCAACACACCGATACAAGAGGTAAACGTATTGCTGGTGGTTCTAATGATTCTTCCAGTGTGCAGATTTCCAAATTGGAACAAAAGCTTGATGCCCTCCTTGCATTGAACTCAAGAAACCCTTCAAAGGAAGTGTGTAGCATCTGTGAAACTCATGATCATCCTACCATTTCTTGTCCCCTTGGGGCTGCATATCCAGAATTTGTGCAAGAGCAAGCTAAGTTGGTGAATTCCTACAATCGAGGTCCAATAAATGATCCATATTCTCAAAGTTATAATCCAGGTTGGAGGAATCATCCAAACTTTTCATGGAGGAATACACAAAATCAAGCGAATCCCCCTTCACTCCAAAGGCCACAACAATCATCATCGTTGGAGGATATAGTGAAGCAAATGGCAAGGGGGACTATGTTCACTACCGAACAAGGGGACTATGTTCTTCGGGAAATCCACGGCGGCGTATGTGGCTACCATTCTGGATCCCGATCGCTCTCACATAAGGCCTTTCGGCAAGGGTATTATTGGCCGACTATGCACCAAGACGCAAACACATTGGTAAAAAAGTGAGACAAATGCTAACGCTTTGGCAACATGCTTCACATCCTTGCCGAGCCTTTAACACCGATTGTAAGCCCATGGCCCTTCACCCAATGGGGACTGGACTTGATCGGTCCAATGCCACAAGGGAAGGGCCAAGTTAAGTATGATGTGGTTGCCGTAGGCTACTTCACCAAATGGGTAGAAGCCGAAGCTCTAGCAACCATAACGATAGCCAGTTCTGTACTCGCCTTAAGGTCAAATTGTTCTTCGCCTCACCAGCTCACACCCAATCAAACAGCCAGGTCGAAGTGATAAACAAAATCATCAAGAAACTGCTAAAACGGCAGCTCGACAAAGCCAAAGGTGCTTGGCCGGAGAAGCTCCCAGAAGCACTATGGGCCATTCGGACATCCTATTGAACGTCAACCGAAGAAAACCCTTTTTTCTCTTGCCTTTGGTTCGGAAGCCGTTGTCCCCGTGGAAGTCGGTGAGCCCTCTTACCAAACGGAAAGCTTTGTTTCGAAGGCGAATGAGGAAGCACTCGCATTGAGCCTCGACTTGATTGAAGAGCGCCGAGCGCAAACCAACCTTCGGAATGAAGCATACAAACATCGCGTCTCTCGGTATTACGACTCAAGGGTCAGAACCCGCTCTTTCTGAATTGGGGACTGGGTCATGCGAAAGGTCTCTCTGGCAACCAAAAATCCCACGGAAGGGACCCTCGGACCTTCCTGGGAGGGACCTTATGAGATCATCGGTATCCTTCGATCGGGAACCTATCGGCTAAGAGACTCCAATTGCAAGACCCTTGATCATCCTTGGAACATAGAACATTTGAAATACTATTTTAAATGAAGTCACCTAGCCTACGGCAGGACGAAAATGTAATACAATGAACTTGTACTCATGCCTTCAGCGGCAGTTAATGAAAAAGCCTTCGGCTTATATATATTCACAACCTTTGGTGTGTTTATCTATTTTATTTTTTGTTGAATAAAAAGATATGGTAGGGACCATCGGTCATGCATTACCCTACGCTTATAAAATAAACTTTTATTTAGCCTACGACAGTAGATAGGCTTCAGTTCAAAACTACCGATCCTATCTACACTTGCAATTTGCCAAATTGAAGAATATTCTTTATTCAAATATATGATTATCCTTCGGCAATTAAAAATATTTAAGTCTAAGTATCTTACCGAATAGGGGTTCACTTGGCAATCACTTTTACTTTGCCCCTTACCGATAAAAAGCTCACTTGTAAAATGGTATCTAAAAATTTTTAGCCCTCGGCGACAATGAAAGAATGAAGAAACGGTAGAAATCACAAATTACCGAATTGATAAAAAACAACAAATTAAGCGGCAGCCCCCACGCCAGTAGCATCGGCGGGAGCCTCTTGGGCAACAGTGGGACCCTCGGCAGTAAAGGCCTCCTCCGGAGCGGCCTCCCCCTCATAGTCTTCGATCATCTCCTCGGTGATGCCCTCCAGTAGGGGAAGAGGATCGGCAATGAAGTTGAGGTTTAGCTTCTGCCTGGGGTTGTACCATTTGAAGCGATAGAGGAGATCCACCATTTCCGATCACCTCTCAAACGCCAGCCTCGATCTCCGAAGCTTTCACTCGCTGAGATTCCTCCAACGCCACCTGCACAGCTGCCTTTGCCTCCTCAACATCCCTCGCCTGTCGACACCGCGGTTTCCAGGACCATTCTCATCTCTGCTAGCTTAGTCTCCGAAGCTTTAACTTGCCGTTCAGCAACTTGTTTGTCCTTTAGCAGATGAGCATGGTCCTGGAGGGTCTTTCCCAACTCGGCAACCTTGGCATGACCGTCTTCATAGGCCTTCTTGGGGTGTTCGGCCACCGAGATGGCTCGCTTCATGCAAAGCCACATGTCCATAGACGCCTAGAATATAAAGACAAAACTTACCGAGGCTTGGAGACGGAAGGCACGACCGGCCTCTTCCCGAAGGAGTTTCTTCGGTAGCTCCTCGATCTCTAACAACTCCATTTGTGAACCGATGATCATGTGGTTCTCAAACTGGACCTTCGTCGACAAGTGATGCTGATCGGCTCGGCAGGACTGTAGTCATCCTGGGCAGCAAAGATAGCCCTTGGCGGCTCCGTTTGCCACGCACGCTTTGGCACAGGCTCAGCATCCAGATCCACCATGAAGGGCCTCTTCCCCGCCGCTTTAGAGGCCCCGGCTTCAAAGGCCTGTCCCCGCCCCGACGTCTCAACAACCTCGGCGGCCTTGCTGGGCACGGGCTCGGCATTGAGTTGCCGCAGCCGATTGGCGAGGGTTTGATTCTTAGGATCAACCCCTGCCGATGGGATCAGTACCGTCTCTGCCTGCCGTTTCGCCTTTTTCCCTTGCAGGCCCATCATAAGGCGCCTCTTGGGGGACTCATTCATCCTCTTGGCTTCGGCGGCTTTTCTGGCGTCTATCACTGAAAAAAAATAGAGGCATTCGATAAGAAGCCGAGATGGTATAAGTAAACATGCAAAGTAATCGAAGTGCACTTACTATCGACAGGGTTGACAAGGTGGGCTTTGATGAGATTCTCGGTAAAGAGAAACTTCGGATACACCCTCTCAGCGGCAGGGGCCTTCAGCCTCACTCTGTCAATCTGCTGAATCTCTGACTGAGTTGGCCTCGGTTGCTTCAGCTTCCCTACAAAAACAAAAACAAAACAAGATTAAGACCTTTCTGGAAAGACACAACTATTGACCTACCGATCGGCATGTCGACCTATCGGCTATTTGGAAGGAGGTGGGGATGTGTAAGCGGACAGACTGTCCCGATGATGATTCCCAATCACCAGATAAAAGCACCCACCGATTCCTCCATGACTTCTGGGAGGTCGGCACGACACTGATAAATTACCTCCATTTGGAAGAGTTCAAGCAGTTGGCCTAAACCCAACCTCCATGATCGGCACTCTTGGACTTGGTAATGCTGTACAGATGGGAAAACTGCTCGTAGGAAGGCGCCCCTTCCTCGGCAACACCGAACGCAACGATCACCCCCATCAGCGCCACCCAAAAGTTGGGGTTGTATTGGCCCGGAGCATACCCGATCTATGCCAGTATACTCTGCACGGCAGGCTGCAATGGCAGCCGAACCCCCTGCAGAAGAACGTTGGTGAAAAAGAAGACTTCGTTGTCTTTCAGGTTGCCGAGGGATTCGGTAGGCCCCGAGATCCTCATCTTTACCAAGTCCGGGATGCAGTACTCGGTGCGATACTTGGCTATCTCCTTTTCAGTAATCATGTTGGGCTCTAGGTAATCTACCCCGAAGAGGTTTTCCTTTGCCACGCCTATGGGCACCCTAGGATTTTCGAGGTAAACTACGGATACCCTCGGGTGGGAAGAGGGTTGAGCAGCTGTCTCTCCACGACCAAAAATGGAGGTCTCCGATTGATGACCAGTGCTGGACTCGTAGTGCCGAACCACGCCAGTGTGACTGCCGTCGCGGTACACCACAGCCAACAACACTGGCTGCCTCGTCATAAGTCCTTTCCCGATGCCGTGGGTAGGAACGGAACTCGCCCCCTCACCGATAATCTCGACATCGGTGTCTTCTCCGCCCTAGGCATCGAGGCTCACGGCCTTACTATTTGTATCAGACAGGTCATCCAATGACTCCCCATCGAACGCAATGGGGTCACTCTCAAATGGTGACTCTCTATCAGACATCTACAAAACACAGAAAATGAAACTAAAGGCCATGCAGAAGACTAGCCTATCGATTCCTACATCACTACCTATGGCAACTAGACTACCAAATGGAACCCTACTTATTCAAAGGTCATTCTAGTTCATGCCAAGGAAGGACGTGCACAAAAAATAAAGTGTTTTAAAATGATGCCGAACGATACCTTAACTGCCGATTGGATGCTAAGAAATCGCCTCCACTACTGATTGGATGCTAAGAAATCGCCTCCACTACTGATTGGATGCTCAAAAATCTCCTCCACTACTGATTGGATGCTCAGAAATCGCCTCAATAGAGCTCTCGCTTCACTCACAAATGCAAAGTGAATTTCTCTTCCGGAGTCACCCTTATTTATAGGGCGAGGGTTTGCAACGGTATGCCTCGAAAAACCAAACGGCGCATTAATGGCGCCCATTCACTTGATGGACAGGCCACGTGTTGTTCGACGAGCATATTTTCTGATAGCACGCGAGGCACAGAAGACGAAGTGCCTTTCAGTCCCATCATTCCTCGTTTGAAGCGACCTTCTGACTCCCCAGATGTCTGCTTCAGAATGAAGACGCATGGAAGGGCCAGAATTAAGCCCCTCCATCCGCTTAACTACCGAACGGTAGGAATACATTTTGCTTACCGAAGAAGAATATCACGTCCCCCTCCAAGAACTCTCGAATGAGAACTTGGGGGACTCCTGTTTATTCCAAAATGAATAGCCTATGAGAACCAGACACGTGGATAGGATTGAGCCTGACCATTGTAGCCTTCGGCACCCAGCCTACCAATTCAACGATTAGGGCCACCTCCTTCTCCAAGACACCTGGCAGGCCCACAATCGATGTCTACAGTCCCACATCGAAAATCTACTCAACTAGAACACCTCCCAAGGCTTATAAAAGGAGTACAATTCCCCAAAATGGAGGTAATCAGAACTTACGGCATACTGCCTATTGATCTGTCAGTTTAATCTTACCAACTCCGTACTTACTTAAGCATCGGAGAGCCTTCGGCTGGTACCACATCGGTGCCTAAGGACTTACCGAGCGTGTTTTATTTTATAGATCACGTGCTCTACCGAGGCCCAAAGGCATACCGAAGGCCCACATCACTAAGTTGGCCTCAAAAACTGCCGAACCATTTTTTAGCGTTAACAGATATACCTCCCTTGATGAGAGCTATGTTTGAAGTAGTCATCTGCCTTCTTCCATATCTCAAAGGAAGCCTCTGCTTTAGGTAGCTCTCATCGTTGAAAAGAACGGCTTCACAGTTACAATCCTCCAAACAGGCTTGTTTGCAAGCCTCTTTGTCTTCTAATGTCAAAACCAGATATGGAACATTTTCCCACACCGTGCTGGGCAGTTCTTGCATGGTGTACGTGAAATTTTCATTCTTGTCTTCGCAAAAATCTGCAACTAAGTTCCTTGCACAGCCCGAGATCTGATCATTTCTCTGGCTAGCAGATTCAAATCCTGGAAGACATCTGCTCTCAGCTTCAAGATCAATTGACATACAATAACTATTTAATCCACATAAGCCAAAAGGGTCACACTTATCGTTGGAAGATTCCCATTTAATTGACCAGCTCCCCTGCTTTAAATTCTTTGAATACAACCGAAGAATACCATCTACATCAATTATCATAAGATAAGATGTGCCTTGATTAGTAGGAAGATTTCCACCTGTTGTATAACAAATATTTGAACCGGTATTGTTGAGTAAGTAAAGATGGCCATCAACATCAAAATGTAGTGTCACATTGTTTCCTGTCTTAGCCGTACCAGATTAATAGTAAGCATTTTGACAGAAAAGGTTTCCATCATCTTGCATTTTGAGACAAAAAATGCCAGTTGAATGATCAGTTTCTGATTTTGGAGAGAAAAGCTCTTCCTCTACGAACTTGCGTTGATCGGGCAAAAGGGTATCAGTTGTGTGCCTACAACTTTGCCATACTATTTCCTGATGGGCATTGTATGTCACAAAATTACCTGAATCAAGCATGGAAGCAGAAGAAGCAGATAGGGTAGACTTCACAACCCAATCTTGGCCTGCTATCGATGACAAGACAAGCTCGTCGCTTGTGAAGAGCAAGGTAACATTACTGGAGACTGGAGGGTTGTCTCGATTTGCAGTCCAAACCATAGTGTGTTGGGGCATTCCAGCAAGAAATATACCCACGGCATAGCCATTGCCTTGCTTGTAAAATCCAGAGGCGTATAGGCCAGAACTTGACAACCATGAGGAGTTGGTGGTGGGTGTTAAAGAAGAGCCTCGGCTTATATTCGACTGCATTTGTTGTGCTTCAGCAGTAACAAATGCAATGCCAAGAAGAAAGCAAAGTGCAAAATTCATTGAAGAAGTTCTCAATGTGACTTCTCTTTCCTGTTTTTTTCTTTCTTTTTCTGTTAGTTCTTCAGAAAACTAGTTGCAGTATTAAGTTTCCCATGTCAATTGCTTTAGTATAAGATTAGTGGTTGGTTCTAAATAATCTTACAAAGTCTTCTCTTTCTCTGTGGAATTAACCAAGTCAAGTCGTTCAAAGTTGCACAAATTCAGCTCTCCCAAGGTCCTCACTAATGCGTGTGCTTTGCAAGTTGTATATATGATTATACTTCAATTCCATTCATTGTAAAGACAAGTATTCATAAATACATTATTAAATTTCCACCTAAGCTCTTACCAAATTATTAGATTTCCATATAAGAGGGGTGGCTGCAAGAGAGCAAACGCTAAGTATCGAAGGCATCGGTACGGTACCAGCCGAAGACCCTCCAACACTTAAAAGAGTTGTTTTGTAGGTCTTAGCCTCAGTATTAATAAATGTTGTAGCATGGTAGATAGACCTGGCAAATGGGTCGTGCTAACGGGTTTTGGGTCGTGAATATCTGACATGACCCGTTAAGTTAACGGGTGACAAATACTAGACCCAAACACGAACCGTTACAATTCGCGAATATCTGACATGACCCGTTAAGAATAAACCAGGAAAAAAAAACCAACAACTATCACCGAGCTTAGCCATCAACCCCTTCTGTCTGATGTAGAACAGATGGCAGATTTCATCGCGGTTAAGCAAGAAAAGGGACGTGGTGGGAATTTGCAGAATTGTCGTCCGAGCTCCGATTACGGAGCAAAATACCATTTCGGAAAGGGAACGATGCCACGAGTCAAACTCATAGCTTTGCGTGACGTACGATGGATTTTGGCATTCTGGAGTCGTTTGGCCTTTCAAAACTGCATTCAAAGTTCGAAGTTAATTCCAAATAAATTCTGTTTTTCCGTTTCGGAGTTACATAGTTAATTCCCAAAATAAATTCTGTTTTTTTTTCAGTTTCGGAGTTACGTAGTTAAGTCTCCGAATTAATTCTGTTTTTCAGTTTTATTGTAATAACTCCCCTAGCAGTTACAAGGGTTGAGAGTTGTGTATTTAGACGGGTTCGTCTAACGTTTTTCGGCAATTCAGATTTTAATCAAATTAATCAAAGAGAGTTTCTCTTAATTTCTGGTGGATTCCAGTTTCCTTGTTACTCAAGGTTTTCGTTTGAAACCTTATTTGCTTGTGCTGCGTCAAGTGGTATCAGAGCGGGTCTCTCCCGTCTTGGTATTCTTGTCTTATCATGGGTGATCGTGAAGCTGATGTCCCAACCCCAATTACTCGAGCGGATCTGGACGCTCAAAACCAACGGATCGACAACCTAACCACCCAATTTGGGGAGATGCGAGTGGCAACCATAGGCGAGGAGGCAGGGATGACGAAAGAAGAGAAGGCAGGGATGATAATCGAAGAGAAGGTAGAGATGGCGAGAGAAGAGATAATAGGAGGCAACTTATTCCGGATAGTGAGTCCGAGTCAGAAGAAGAACTTGAAGAACCACCACCACCGGCTAATAATCCTCGTAATCGTAATCGTAATTACAAGAATTTTGGCGACTATCGGATTAAAGTAGAAATTCCTAACTTTTGGGGAAATCTGAAGATTGAAGACTTCTTGGATTGGCTTGTAGAAGTGGAGAGGTTTTTCGATATTATGGAAGTTCCTGAGCATAAGATGGTGAAGATGGTAGCTTTCCGTCTTAAAGCTACAGCGGCTGTTTGGTGGGATCAATTGCAAAATTTACGGCAGAGGCAAGGAAAGCAACGGGTTCGAACATGGCGGAAGATGAAGTCGCTTATGATGGAACGATTCTTGCCCACAGATTATGAGCAGATTCTCTACCGTATGTACCTAGGCTGTGTGCAAGGCACCCGTTCAGTTTCTGAATATACCGAAGAATTCATGCGTTTGGCAGAGCGAAACCATTTGACCGAGACTGACAACCAAAAGGTCGCGAGGTACAACAATGGGCTGAAGATTTCCATCCAGGAAAAAATTGGTATGCAGAATATATGGACTTTGCAGGAGGCGATTAACATGGCATTGAAGGCTGAATTGTTGGAGAAGGAGAAACGCCAACCCAACTTCCGCAGGAACACGACGGAAGCCTCTGAATATACTGCTGGTGCTTCTAGTGGCTCAGGAGATAAGGGGAAAGCACAGCAGCAGAATCTTGGAGGATCGACAAAACCAGCAACAGTTGGCCAAAACAAAAATTTCAACGAAGGTAGCAGCCGGAATTACAACAGAGGGCAGCCCCGAAACCAGTCCCAGAATCCGTATGCTAAGCCCATGACGGACATATGTTACCGTTGCCAAAAACCAGGGCATCGTTCTAATGTTTGTCCAGAGCGGAAGCAGGCCAACTTTATCGAAGAAGCCGATGAAGATGAGGAAAACGATGAAGTCGGGGAAGATGATTATGCAGGGGCTGAATTTGCAGTTGAGGAAGGAATGGAGAAGATTACCTTGGTTTTGCAGAGAGTTCTTTTGGCACCAAAGGAGGAAGGGCAGCGTCATAGTATTTTTCGTTCCCTCTGCTCAATCAAAAACAAGGTGTGTGATGTGATCGTCGACAATGGAAGTTGCGAGAATTTCGTGTCAAAGAAATTGGTGGAGTATTTGCAGCTATCTACGGAGCCTCATGTCAGCCCTTACTCACTAGGTTGGGTTAAAAAAGGCCCTTCGGTTCGTGTAGCTGAGACTTGCCGAGTGCCACTGTCAATTGGTAAGCATTACAGAGATGAAATATTATGTGATGTTATTGACATGGATGCATGCCATATTTTGTTAGGGGGACCTTGGCAATTTGATGTGGATGCAACTTTCAAGGGACGAGATAATGTAATTCTGTTCTCTTGGAACAACCGGAAAATTGCAATGGCAACCACATAGCCCGCAAAGCAATCTGTTGAGCCCAAGACGAGGAGTTCTAGTTTCCTAACCCTAATTCGCAGCGAGCAGGAGTTGAACGAGGCTGTCAAAGAAGCGGAGTGTTTTTGTCCCTTGGTGTTGAAGGGGTTGTTGAAAATTGGCGGAGGAGAAGGTGACATTCCACAAGATGTGCAGCAGATTTTGAATCAATTTCAGGAACTACTTTCTGAAAATCTGCCAAACGAGCTGCCTCCTATGCGGGACATACAGCACCGAATTGACTTGGTGCCTGGAGCTAGCCTTCCGAATCTGCCCCATTATCGGATGAGCCCCAAGGAGAATGACATCCTGAGAGAACAGATTGAAGAATTACTGCGGAAAGGATTTATCCGGGAGAGTTTGAGTCCCTGCGCAGTTCCTGTTTTGCTGGTTCCAAAGAAAGACAAAACTTGGCGAATGTGTGTTGATAGCCGGGCAATCAACAAGATAACAGTCAAGTACAGGTTTCCCATTCCACGGTTAGAAGATATGCTGGACGTTCTTGGCGGCTCAAGGGTGTTTTCCAAGATAGATTTGCGAAGCGGATACCACCAGATTCGCATACGACCTGGAGACGAATGGAAAACAGCGTTCAAGAGCAAGGACGGATTATTTGAATGGTTGGTGATGCCATTCGGATTGTCAAATGCACCTAGCACTTTCATGCGACTCATGAATCAGGTTCTTCGACCATTTATTGGTTCTTTTGTCGTTGTTTATTTCGATGACATTTTAATTTACAGTACCACAAAAGAAGAACATCTTGTGCATTTGAGACAAGTTTTAGATGTGTTGAGAGAAAATAAGCTGTATGTGAACCTTAAAAAATGTACTTTCTGCACAAATAAGCTACTGTTCTTGGGTTTTGTTGTTGGTGAGAATGGTATCCAAGTAGATGACGAGAAGATCAAGGCAATCCTTGACTGGCCAGCTCCAAAGACAGTTTCTGAAGTTCGAAGCTTCCATGGCTTGGCCACCTTTTACAGAAGATTTGTGAAGCATTTTAGCACCATTGCTGCACCTATCACAGAATGTTTGAAGAAGGGCCAGTTCAGCTGGGGAGAGGAGCAAGAGAGAAGCTTTGCAGAAATAAAAGAAAAGCTTTGCACTGCACCGGTTCTAGCTCTTCCAAACTTTGAGAAAGTTTTCGAAGTTGAATGTGATGCCAGCGGTGTGGGAGTCGGAGCTGTGCTCTCACAAGACAAGCGGCCAATTGCGTTCTTTTCTGAAAAATTGAGCGATGCACGTCAAAAGTGGAGTACTTATGACCAAGAGTTCTATGCGGTTGTTCGAGCTTTGAAGCAATGGGAGCACTATCTTATCCAGAAGGAATTTGTTTTGTTTACAGATCATCAAGCGTTGAAGTATATTAACAGCCAGAAAAATATTGATAAAATGCATGCTAGATGGATGACTTTTTTGCAGAAATTTTGTTCGTTATCAAGCATACTTCCGGCAAGACCAATCGTGTGGCAAATGCGCTGAGTAGGAGAGCTTCATTATTAGTCACGCTGACTCAAGAAGTTGTGGGGTTTGAATGTCTGAAGGAATTATATGCAGGTGACGATGATTTCCGGGAAATTTGGATTAAGTGCACTAATCAAGAGCCAATGGCAGATTACTTTCTCAATGAAGGTTATTTGTTCAAAGGCAACCAGCTGTGTATTCCAGTTTCTTCTTTAAGGGAGAAGCTCATTCGGGACTTGCATGGTGGAGGGTTGAGTGGCCACCTAGGCCGTGACAAAACAATTGCATTGATGGAGGAGAGATTTTACTGGCCACAGCTCAAACGTGATGTTGGAACTATTGTGCGCAAGTGCTACATTTGTCAAACTTCGAAGGGGCAGGTACAAAACACTGGATTATATATGCCATTACCAGTTCCTAACGATATTTGGCAGGATCTTGCTATGGATTTTGTCCTCGGATTGCCCCGAACACAAAGGGGAGTGGACTCTGTATTTGTGGTGGGTTGATCGGTTCTCAAAAATGGCGCATTTCATAGCCTGAAAAAAGACTGTCGATGCATCAAATATAGCCAAACTATTTTTCAGGGAGGTTGTTCGCTTGCATGGGGTTCCTACATCCATTACATCTGATCGTGACACCAAGTTCTTGAGTCATTTTTGGATCACTTTGTGGAGACTGTTTGGGACTACTTTGAATCGTAGCAGCACTGCCCATCCCCAAACTGATGGCCAGACTGAGGTTACAAACCGGACATTGGGCAATATGGTGCGAAGCGTCTGTGGAGAGAAGCCGAAACAATGGGATTATGCATTACCGCAGGTGGAGTTTGCATACAACAGTGCAGTCCATAGCGCTACTGGGAAGTCTCCATTTTCCATTGTTTATACTGCTATACCTAACCATGTTGTAGATTTGGTGAAACTGCCTAGAGGCCAGAAAACCAGTATGGCAGCGAAAAATTTGGCTGAGGAAGTGGTAGCCGTTCGAGATGAGGTCAAGCAGAAACTTGAGCAAACAAATGCTAAGTACAAAGCTGCTGCGGATAGGCATCGACGTGTTAAAGTGTTTCAAGAAGGCGATTCTGTGATGATATTTCTGAGGAAGGAGAGGTTTCCAGTTGGCACTTACAGCAAGCTTAAACCGAAGAAATATGGTCCTTACAAAGTGCTCAAACGGATCAATGATAATGCCTATGTTATTGAGTTACCGGATTCCATGGGAATTTCCAATATTTTTAATGTTGCAGATTTATATGAGTTCCGTAAAGATGAGGTTCTTTATCCAGATCATAACTCGGGGTCGAGTTCTTCGGAGGTGGAGAGGACTGATGTAGAACAGATGGCAGATTTTATCGCGGTTGAGCAAGAAAAGGGACGTGGTGGGAATTTGCAGAATTGTCGTCCGAGCTCCGATTAGGGAGCAAAATACCATTTCGGAAAGGGAACGATGCCACGAGTCAAACTCATAGCTTTGCGTGACGTACGATGGATTTTGGCATTCTGGAGTCGTTTGGCCTTTCAAAACTGCATTCAAAGTTCGAAGTTAATTCCAAATAAATTCTGTTTTTCCGTTTCGGAGTTACATAGTTAATTCCCAAAATAAATTCTGTTTTTTTTTCAGTTTCGGAGTTACGTAGTTAAGTCTCCGAATTAATTCTGTTTTTCAGTTTTATTGTAATAACTCCCCTAGCAGTTACAAGGGTTGAGAGTTGTGTATTTAGACGGGTTCGTCTAACGTTTTTCGGCAGTTCAGATTTAATCAAATTAATCAAAGAGAGTTTCTCTTAATTTCTGGTGGATTCCAGTTTCCTTGTTACTCAGGTTTTGTTTGAAACCTTATTTGCTTGTGCTGCACCACTGTCTGTCCTCTCCCCATATATCCATCTCATGAACACCATAAACACCCCTCAAAACCCCAACCCACATTGATAGACAGTGAAGACTTCTTCACTAGTTCTCAACTTTTACATTTAAAGAAAAGAAATTTGAATTCTAAAAAGACACAGAGAGAAGAGAGAATGAAATAAATATAAATACAGAAGATGAAAACTTGGGAAATAGCAAGAAAAAGAAAACCGTGCCATGAAAGAAGAAGAAAACAAGAAGAGGAAAAAGAGAGAGAGAGAGAGAGAGAGAGAGAGAGAGAGAGAGAGAAGAATAAAAAATAAATAAAGTGAAGACAAGAGAGACTGTGAGAGAAAGAAGAATAATAAAAAACAAAGTGAGTTAGGTGGGTAGACGATGAAGACTTCTTCACTGGTTCTCAACTTTTACATTTAACGAAAAGAAATTTGAATTCTAAAAAGACACAAAGAGAAGAGAGAATGAAATAAATATAAATAAAGAAAATGAAAACTTGGGAAATAGCAAGAAAAAGAAAACCGTGCCATGAAAGCAGAAGAAACAAGAAGAGGAAAAAGAGAGAGAGAGAGAGAGAGAAGAATAAAAAATAAATAAAGTGAAGACGAGAGATTCTGTGAGAGAAAGAAGAATAATAAAAAACAAAGTGAGTTAGGTGGGTGTTTTTTTTTAATATGAATTGTGATACAAAATTACAAACTACTCCTTAATGGGTGGATAGCGAATATTCGCTAATGAACCTGACACAACCTGTTAACTTAACGGGTGGCTAATGGGTTCACCCATTTTTAACCCGACCCAGTAAGCTCAACCCAAATACTGATAATTTTGTGCAAATTCGTGTCGTATTAACGGATTGTGTGCAATATTGCCAGGTTTAATGGTAGAGGTTACTCACATGGTTTCATGTAGGATTTTCATTCGTTTAATTAATTATGGAAGTAAGAATGGGTCCTCGAATTGCAACCAATTAGCACACACGCATATTTTGACATCATGAAGATGCAAATGAAACGATAATTGCATCATCTTTTGTTTTTTTTTTTTTTTTTTTTTTTTTTTTTATTTTTTTTTTTTTTTTTTTTTTTTTGGTAAAGAACACAACCATCGTTTGAAATCTTGTCGGTAAAGACAAATAAACAATACAAGAAGGTTTGAAGATGTCAAAAGATTCTCGAATATCACCAAGAAAATAACAAGAAAAACGGAAAGTTGCACTTGCATGGATTAAACTTGACTAATTATTAATTAAATTAAACACAAGCAACACTCATTTTCATAGAAGCTGAAACGGAAAGTTGCACTTGCATGGGTTAAAGTACGACACTGAATATTGTCTGAATTGACGGGACTAAAATTATCCGATTTAAGATCTGTACACGATTATCATGCATTTAATAAGTGAGATTATACTTCATCAAAAATTAAAAAAAAGTGAGATTTTAATTAGTGCCATAAAACATTAGTTTTCTTCTGGATCATGCATATTTTGGATCTGCGAGGTAACAGCCTTCACAAACAAAGCATCGGTATCGCATTAGGATGACTAGATATTAACAATACAGAATTTTAGAGACATTATCTTCCCTAGTCCATGCAACAAACTGTGCAGTACTTGTGTTTCTGTCCACAAATCACCTATTAACTCCATCCAAACTAGAAGGTTTTGTCTGAAATGAATTACATTGTCAGCAGGGCTTAGTAACGGTACTTGGTGGAGTAATCCTTGGGAGCAATGACGAGACCGCGTCCCTTCCTTGCCCCACGGTACACTGTCTCAACGATGTCAATGAACTCTTGCTTGTCCTTGAGAGCCCAGTTGATCTTGTTGTTGTTCCCAGTACCAAGGTCAATCATAATGTGTTTGTTTCTGAAAAAGAACATGACAGTGGATGGGTCATAGAGCTCATACATTGTGTTGAAATCAGGAACCTCCGTGATATCAACAAGGTAAATCACAGCAAAGTTTTTGAGTGTCTCAGCAACTGCAGCTAGCACTTCATCCATCTATATAAACAGGACAAGATAACAAACCAGAAATTAACCAGCAGCATTCAAAATCAGGGTTAACAAAGAAAGTCAATTTATATGGAAACAGTTGCTAAATGAAAATGAAATAAGGATAAGAGGCATATACATTATCAAAATTTAAGGTGATTATAAATCGTACTATTCTGCCTGGCCATGATGGCCCATCAAACTTCTAAGCACCACAATGAACAGGGATAAAAGAACAGCGCTTCACTCTCCCTCCAGAGTCTAGGCTTTGCTTCAAACGGAGAATGTATTGTTGTGCTCAGAAATCAACATATATTATATATTAAAAATAAACGTTATTCCCCATCCAACGGGCCCTAAAAAGAGAGAGAAACGAAAGCAAACAAGTTCATGCTTGAGTCAATATAATGATCAATTTTGAGTTCTACCTCCAAACCTTTCCAAGATATAAGATTTATGAAATAACTTAATACTTAAGCTTGCTTGGGAGTCAGTTTGGAGACTTTCAAAATTTGATGTTAGAATGGAAGTTAAAGACTGCTTCTTGCTTAATAAAATTAACCCAAATTAGTCTATCCAACTTTTTTCTTTTTTTGTAACTAATCTCCCTTAAATAAGTTCCAACTTCAAACTTCCTGGTAAATTAAAAGGTGCAAAACTTCACATGAACTACCTCAATTTGCAAGCATAGAGCAAAGGAAGATTTATACGAAGTCTTCAAATCATACAATATGCATAATGTATAAATGAATGGAATAAACAAAGTGAGCGACATATTTGCTAAAGAATAATAACTCGTTTGTTGTATGTCTCTGTTCAAAGTAGGACTCTTCTGAATAAGTCAATGAATTAATCATAAAAAAGACAAATGAGCAATTGGGGGTTTAGGGGGTTAATGAAAGTTGCAAGGGGGAGTTGGAACCTACCTGCATACAGGTCTCATCCCAGTCGTGGCCGAAACGAATGATGACAAGACGCTCCTCCTCAGCGAGGATGGCCTGATCCACGGCCCATCCAGAGTGGAGGTGAGGCAGTAGATACGACATTGGTTTTTGTTAACCCTCTCTTCTCTCCCAACAGTCCACGAGTCCCAACCTCTCTAGCTTTTAGACTCTAGCACAACGATCTGCAATGCAATTTGAAAAAGTTAAAATGACGACAGCCACTCAAAAATGTTCAAAATATGTTCCATCAATTTGACGAAATTAAAGATGTACGCTTGACTTGTGACAAATTATGTATCCTTAAATTGTAAAAAATGTAACTACATGGGAATATAGAACTTGGCTCAAACTGCATAGACCCAAACTCGAATTGAGAACTGGCTATCTTAGCAAAAAGAAACTTTTGCCTTCATAAATCCCTTCTTGCTTAATCTTTTGTTTAATTATATTTGTAGCTGGAATTCGAAAGCTTACCCACTGGAGGGAGGCTGGAGCTAAACAACACCAGGGTAATTCAAAATGCAAAAAGAATAATTTCAATCAATCATCATCAGGCAATCTTTGTTCAATGATTTTTTTTTCCTTTTTTTAAATTTTTGTGGTAATTTAACCGGAAATAATCCTCTGTTTGGTTGCTGAGAAACGTGTATCGATTGCACAGCTTTAGAGGAAATTTCCAATAATATTTGCAGGAATCGGGAAAATTCAACATAAATCAAACAGCAGATCCAGAAAGATTGAGAGGAGAAAAATCGCATGATATGCAAATTAAAGCAAAAAGAAAAGAAAATAGAAGACAAAATAATGAACAAGGGGAAAGGGAAGGAGAACCTGATGGATAACGCGTAGGGTAGGAGCTCCTGGAGAATAGAGTGTGGAGAGAAGACACTTCGAAGAACTTGGCTTATGGGTTTTGCCAAGCCAATCTTGATCCTCCTTTTGCCTACTTGGTGGATTGCAACAGGCTTGAGGACGGGGCGGTTTTATTATATTTAGTTCTGGGGCATTTTGGATTCAGCCCAATATACAGGTCTGTATTCAGAAAGAATGACATATACAGACGTATTTTGTAATAGTAAGATAAAAATGCCCTTATTTATATTTTAGGTTTCCTGAGAAGTCTATTTCTGCTTTTCACATAGTACCAAATAAGGTGGGATATGGTCCGGTTCTCAACCCAAATTGAAATCAGAATCGGCATTATTCATCCAGTTTAGTTTGGTTTTGATGAAAAAAATTATCTAATTCAATGCGATCCAATTTGCCCATAAGCTGGTTCGGTTTCCGATTTTAAACATGAATTTTTTATTTTTTTTAATTACAAAAACCAACTAAAATACCAATTTTTTTGGCTTAAAAATTAACAAATGGCTCAATTTCATGCAAAAGGAGTTTTGATTGTGTCTATAAAAGAGAGGTAATTTAGAGTTGGGCTTGGGAAAAGATTAATTATAGCTTAGAAATTTGGCATTGGGCTTTAATATTTTATTAAAAAATACACACCCTGTCTGGTTTTTTCAATACAAGAATTGAAACCAAAACCGAACTAATGGCCGATACAATTTTGGTCAACTTGGTCCAGTTTTTTGTCAACCCAATTTTTTTAGCCATGTTC